CCAGAACAGTTCTGACTTAACATCACTCTTCGAATGCATCAAGGAGCCTGGTTCCACGAATAGCTAGCCCAAATCGCGGCATCCCCATTCCCTAGTGATTGGAAAGGCCGACGCGGAATACCCTAAGCTGGCTGAATCCACGGCCTTGCTAGCCTATGAAAGCCCCAAATGCGTGACTTTCAAAATTTAGTGGCATAGCCGGGGAATAAGAAAAAGCAATTTTTCTGGCTCGACTACTTTTCAGTAGGCCAGCGTGGACCTAATGTCTGGTAATTTTCCACTTTTTAAGCTGCGCTTTGAAATTTCAAAAACATCAAGACGTCAATGATTGCATTCTTTAGACGTCAAAAAGCGTTTGAATTATTTCATTTGCTATGACTTTTGTTAAAAAAGTTAGTAATGTTAATCTGTATTCTAACGTTGGTTATGTTACAGGGATGCCCCCAACGCTGATTGCAGCCATGTCAGGCCCTTTCCTGGGCTGCGCATGCCAAGTTGCTCGTTAGATAAGAAGCGAAAGAATAGATCTGAGGTGGCTAAATTTAACTAATACCACTCACCTCGCACAGTGAGTTTGTTGCGGTGGTGTATTTTCATGATTTGTTAATATGAATCTGGCAAAGGTGCCAGTACATTCTGAACATGACTATATTTTACCGTGACAATCTTTTAACTCATCTGACAAAATGTTCTGAAATTCCAGTCTTTTGAACTATTCCGTTCTGAAATTAAATTGGAAATGAGGATCCGAGATATTGGATTTAAATGTCTGTCGGCTCTTAAAGAGCAACTTTTTTTCTCTTAGGGTAAAAACAGAAAGAGCAATGCAAGCGAATGAACTGAAAGCTGGTTTCAAGTTCTAAAAATCGTCACCATCGTTTTTTGGCTTTTTCTTCAGGGTATAATGTATAGTATGATCGAAGCGCTTGGTTGGTGCGTGTTACTCTATTTCGGTTCTCGCCTGGCTCAGGTCATCTACAGCATCATATATCCATATTATATTGCCAAGCCTTTGAAACTCAAAGAAGCTGCCGGCGGCAAATGGGCAGGTGTGTTTGTATGTTACTTGTCTTGTAATGCCCATTGTTTTTGATTATGTCACGATCAATTTCTTTACAAGCTCTATTTCCGCCCGTGTTTCACACGACTTTGCACCCGGAAAGTGTCTGATTTTGATATCAGTGAAAGCTTCACCAAAGCAATCCGAAACTTTCCCCGTATTCATTTCTTTGTGAGAGACGAAGGCATTCGGAAGAAACTAGGAGGTGCTAAAAGCAAACAGCTCTTAGAGAGGCTGTCAGTGGGTTCTTTTATTGCGGACTGCATAAAAGCAAGCACATGATGGGCTTGACTCCTCAACTTGTGTCACTACCAATTTATTGAAATGAATGAATGAATCATAAAAAAGTTATTGTATGTCGCAATGGGAAGTACAGCTGCTGTGTAGGTCGAAAGTTCAAATTTGCCGAACGAACAACCATGACTCATTTGAACTGAAGAACAGGAAGTTGGGAAGAGAGAAGGAAACGAAGAAGTCGCTCGAGGAAGGGTTTCGAATTAAGAGATGTATCAGGAGATGGAAAATAATAATTGTAACTGTTGTGACTACAATTAAATTTCATCATTAAACCGTTGCAATGCTCCAAATTCTATCACCTAAGGTTGAAAAATAGCTAAGAACACATAAGTGCCATTTACTATACAACCTTGGCAAGATGAATGCGAGACTTGACAGATCTGACATTTTTTGTGTCGGATTACTGCTGCGCAGTACGATCCAAGATTTTCTAGCTGAATTTACCGCTTTTTTGGGCTAATTTAGCACATTGGTCGTCTAAAATCACCTTACACCAAAGATTCCATTTTTGACCTTAGTTGTTATGGTAGGACCTCTTCCGTCAGAACTAATTCGTCTCTCCATCTCACAAGAATTTTTCTCCCCGGTAATTAACACGAAACAAAAATGACCAATTTACCGTGTTGTGGTGGCTTCTAGTTTCATTGCAGTGGTGACCGGTAGTACCGACGGTATTGGACGAGCTTATGCACTCGAGCTGGCGCGAAACGGCTTTTCCATTGTTCTAATATCACGGACGCAGTCGAAACTGGATCACGTTAAAGCTGAAATTGAAAGCGCAACAAATGCCGAGGTGTGTTTTTGCGTTTTTGCCTGCTGTAGCAGCTCTATGGGGCTGCACAGCAAAAATGCACAAAAATTGATTACAGTTGCTTATTGTCCTAGTAATACATTTGTTCCCGCAATTCTTCCAATCATTTTTTAAAATTTAGGTTAAAACTATCGCGTATGATTTCACGAAATCGAATATCGCTGAATTCGAAGAAAAAATATTATCTGTATTGCAGGATCTCGAAGTCGGCATAGTTGGTAACTTATGTGAAAATTTAATTTTTGTAATTTTTGAGAAGCAAAAACTGAAAATTTACGCTTGAAGCTGCCGATGCCTACGTTTATCTAGACATATTGTAGTCGCAAAAAATATGTAGCGTTGGAAAAGTGCCAGAAATATCACAGTTTGTACAAATGTATTTGAAACCAGTAACATACTGTTAATCATTTGCACTTTTCGCTCTACTACAGCTTTTTTTAAGCAGCTCTACATAACCTCTTGCTAGAGATGATTACATTTGGCATTTCGTGTCACGCGCGTTTCTTCTCGAATGCTTTCACCTGTCGTAGGGAGCAATTGCCGGAGCAATTTTGACATTTGTACTTGGTGATTTATGAAGCCTTTTTTTCAGTCAAATTATTTGTATAGCAACGTATACATCACAAAAACTCGGTATCTGGAAATGCTTGAAAAAGCACTTATGGGCAATACGATCCTAACTTTTTCGTCTTTTTTTTTTTGTATCTTTGAAATACTGGAAATGTAAATCAATGCATTGCTGGCATTTTCTCCAGTAA